AGAAACAACACAATGTGAAAATTCCGCTAGGTCCAAAAATGGTAAACGCTCTTACCATTACGTCAGGTATGACTATATGAGAAATTCTGTATCCGCGTTGTTAGTGAAGATAATTATGATCCTTATTTATTATTATTATTTATAATTCTTAATAGAGTGGGAATGAGTCCCTTGTACTGTAGCCACTTCTAGCCTATTGTACGAGCCCCAGATGATAGGTGAGGGTGATTGTGGAACAATTGGTGGAATGAAGATTGGCAGAGGAAACCGAAGTACTCGAAGAAAACCTACCCCACTGCTACTTTGTCCATCATAAATCCCATAAGACCAGACCTAGACTCGAACCCATGTCGCCGCGGTGTGCAGCCAGCGACTAACTGCTTGAGCTATGGCACGGAAATATTATGAAACTTTACCGACAGAAGTAGAGGTTCTGGGAAGGAATTGTGGAGCTTTGTTTCCTTTTAAAACATGTCTGTGCATGAAGAGTGCCATAAAATATATATTAATAATTAAGTAATTTATTGAGTCCTTTCTATACATAAACTGCACACTCCGCTCCGTCGCCATGTTCATAATTCCTAACATAGGAAAGTACTCCGTTCGACGTATGTAGATACGTTTTTGACCACTCCACATACAAATTCGGAACGACAAGCTCCAAGGAACCGTCAGTTAGTGCTATATAATATGAAATTAAGCGTAGTAGAGTTCCGATTATCTGACATAGCCGCCGTACATACTGTGATTGTGTCTTATGTTCCATTCGCATTTTTCCCTTAATATAATTTTATTCTTTGAAAAACTAGGCACGCGAAAAGATAAAGAAAAAGGCTCTTTCAATTGAAGAAAATATTGAAGCCTTAAAGGAGCAAACGAAGTCCAGTGCATGCAAAAATTTGTTTCCAAATTCGGTGTGGGGCGAGTTGGTACCTGAACAATCAGACATTTTTGTTAATCCCATCACTTATCAGTCCCGTTTATTTCGGCTAATCGGAGCTCTATTGTATTTCCGGCTACCACCACGTGGTTACTTTATGTTCTACAAAAAAAAAATTGCCCGAGGAAATTTGGGTTTAATTTTTAAGGCTAATGAGACAAGTGATACGGAAACGTTTGTAACGAAATAATAAGCCAATCAATTTTGAGTTCGAAATATCAATGAAACTGACAAATTGCAACGAGAAAATAAATATATGAAAGTGTATATCATGAGACTCAAGCAACTGGTAGCCACTTTTTAAAATTAACAGTCTTTTTCAGAGATGAAATTAATTAGTCAGGCTATACCTCCATGGAAACCAATAATGTTCTCGCACTTTTTACTATGACATCATTAACGTTTCGGAAGTTTCTTACTCCAAAGGCAATCAATCACTTAGACAAGTTCGAGCGAAAGAGTTGTCAAACACGGCAATGTGATCAAAACATTTTATCCTCATTCAGAATCCTTGCGAAAAAGAAAAGTGATACGGATATTATGTGAGTGTGAACTGATTGTAAGCAATCTTAGCATGAAATTCGTAAACGAACACTCGACAGGGAGGTCATATCTGTCCGTACGCTCGCATATTTCGTTTCCATAGCTATGCAATCCTTCTGATTAAACGTAACAGTGGAAGGCAGTGAGGCTGTTCTAAAAATTGTCATGGGAACTCAGTTCTAGTTCTTACAGATCATGTATTACAATTAAGTGAATACGAAATTTAATACTTTTAAAGTTCCAGACGGTTCATTCTATTCATATTCATACAGGAAATAATATGCTGTGTAGATATTATTAATTGTAGTTACAAACTCTGACGCATTTCTTGATATGATCAATATTATTGCAGCACGAGGAAATAGCTTCCAGGGGTGAGAGACTAGAACTGCGATTATTTTTGTAATAGCGGGGCGTGAAGTTGAGCACTCACCTCCACCCAGTGCTAAGGTCATAATGGTGGAGCTATACCTCCATTATCGATAGGTCTTCACGGTATTGTGCTTAATTAATTAAGCACGGGACAATTTAACATTAACTTTATCTTTGCAACAGCGCAACTGCATATCCGTGCCTGAGTTACGTAAATGAACACGAAGGCCAATGGAATATAAAATTCCCTCACTCTGCAACTTGCTAAGTGGCAAGTGAAAATGAAGCCCCCCCCCCCCTTCCACCGAAACTTAGAGACCAAGAAAGTGATAATGTGTTGCCTGGTCAGGGCTTCCCTACAGCTCAGGTGGCAGTGAATATTAGAAAACTAAACCTATGCGAGAGGACATAGTTGTTTGAGGCACTATGCTACAAGCCGGAAGGTGGTGGATTCGATTCCCAATGAGGTTACTTTTCTTTTTCATTTGACCTAATCCTTCCAGCCGCACTATGGCCCTGGAGTCGACTCAGTCTCTAACAGAAATGAGTACCAGAAATCTTCTTTGGAGAGGGAGTAAAGGGCGGCCTGCAGGCTCGTAAGGCTGACAATCTCATCGCCATCTGTTAGCTGATTGGCTAGAAAATGTGGGAGCCTCGACGTCTCACAACCCTATGGACCAGCAAGGCCTGTTACAGGGATAGATTTACCTTACTTTTACACAGTTCTCTTGCCTATATGAGTAAAATGGGAAGAAAAGTAACCATAACTGGCGTATTTATGTGGAGATCCTTGAGCAATATTTAGCATGAACTACATTGTTGTTACATAAAGAAAACCTAAAAGGCCACTAGCAGTAAAACAGTGATGTAGTGGTGAAATAAGCAAGTGCTAAGTTTCGGTCTGCACGGACACTGGTTGATATGAAACAAATATATCCATTCGGAATTCTCGACGATGACACTAAACCTCAAGCAGTTCCAGTTTCTATATAAATCTAAGTGTTTCAATAAAATATCTGAGCGTTAATTTTCTGTGGGTTCTTTTACGACCCCATCAATATCTGAGAATTGCAGAACGTCGACCTGCAGGATGGATGATGCGTAGTGAATTGGGTCACGGTCTAGCAGATCTAGTTCCCCGGTATTTTCTTTCAGAGGATGAGGAAAACCAAGCGAAAATTCACTCATGATATCCAGTAACTTGGCTGAGATTCGAACTGAGCACGTTCTAAGTATAATTTTAGGGTGTTACCGCTACAGCAACCTACCCAATCTCAGCCTCACCTTAAAACAAACAAACAAAATCCGTGGCCTGTAGTTCGCAAGCGAACTATACCGACCGAGGGACCGTTGCTTGTCGGCGAAGTTAGTGGTCACTTCAGAGGGGTAGTGGGTGTCACGTGGTCAGGGCAACGGATCCCCAAGGCCGTTAATCTCGGATTTCTAGACCGGAGCCGCTATTTCATTGAAATAACTCCTCAATTATCCTCATGAGACCTAGTGGACCCCGTTCCAGACCCACTACTTTTCAGAAATTTTGGTATAGCCGGGAATCGAACCTGGGTCGTCTGGATCTGTAACCAGTAGTTCTGACCACTAGACCACAGAAGCGGTCGTTTACAGCCGAAACAATCGATACATTCATGCAAAACGGTCTGCTCATCAAATGTCTCAATAAAACACGAACTTAATATTAAAACTACTGAAACATGACAGCGTTATCTAATCCACATTAGATCCAATGGTTAAGCTACTATAACGCTAACATACGGAATTACGGCTAGTGACACTGCCCGCCTATTGATCTTCAATGACGGAAAGACTAGGCGAGAATTGGCCAAACTTATTTGCTTTCCAGAGAAAAAAAAACAATGGAGCAGTCCTTAAGAAGGGAGCAACTACTCATATTAGCTAATAGCCTTTGAGCTGGTCGCGAAATGCCCCACATTTTATGGAATGCGATGGTTCATTAGACTGAGATTTTCTGCGATGTGGCGACATGTCAAATTCGTGTTTGGTTAACGTCTCAGAATATATGTCTGCCTCCATGGGGTCACATACCAGAAGACTGCAGTCTTCATATCCACCGACACGAGAACATAGAAACTAGTCCATAAAGATACATATAAGAGTAGACAAATGGTCCTTATCCTGGACCAGACTGATACGTTTCACAATCTCGTGTCCTGTTTCTTCAATATTCTTTGTATTTCCCCTACACACACCTATTTCTTCTATTTCGTCTCCTACTTAGATATAGACAGACTAAAACTCTGCATGTGCTTCTTATCCCTTACATATATGTTACCCGCCTCCCTCGTCTCTTATATTTGTTTTAATCACTCTAACGATGTTTGCCGAAGAGTAAAATACAGGCTGCAGCTTTGTTTAGCATTCTGCTGTTCAATCTGCCTACATTCAAATATTTTCCTCAGCATCCCGGTCCCAACAACCTTCATGTTCACCCTTGTCTGCCCGGTCAGTACTCATGAGTATGTTCTTCTTTCACCCGTCGTTATATAGATTTATACTAAAAATATCAAATAGATTTGTTAATAGATAAAGAATGAACTCACATCAGTTGACGCGACATCATTTCTGCAGATGATATAGCGTTGTTAAATAACCCACAAACCTATTATCTGGAAAGGTAATCTCAGCTTTATGTAATTCATTCTCCATGGTAAATTGTACAGCTCTCGATCCCCTAAAAGCAAATATGAGGTTCTGAAAATCCCACTGCCTTCGTTTTTATCAAATTATGGAAATCTATTCTGAGCAGAAATAGATTTCAATTTATGAAAAATCATTTTCGTATTATACTGGGTTTAATGGGGGACCAGGGGCTAAAAAATTATATCCTGTTCATGACAATGTTACAGTAATACAAATATTTGGGCCGCGCCATAGCTCAAGCGGTTAGTCGCTGGCTTCCCATCGCGGCGGCCCGGGTTCGATCCCGGGTCTCGTCAAGTGGAATTTGTGGTGGACAAAGTGGCTCTGGGGCAGGTTTTCTCCGAGTACTTCTGTTTCCCTTGCCAATCTTCATTCCACCAATTGCTCTACAATCACCCTCACCTATCATATGGGGCTGGTACATTAGGCCAGAAGTGGCCGTAGTACAAGGAACTTAGTCCCACCCCACTAGCAATTAAAAAAATACAAATATTTAATCTAACTCTACTTTCTATACGTTGAATGCAGGAAGTACTGTGAAGGGAAGAGAAAGAAATATTAATTTAGGACTTTGGCCAATAGAATCTTATTATGTGTATTTGCCGTTTGATTGACGATCCTCCATCTTATTACGAGGAACTTCAGTGCAACTTACAGTATATTCAATATAATTCGTGTCTTAACATTCTGAAAACTACATTCTGCGTTAAGGATATCGTCCTTGAAGTAACTGATATCCAAAACGTAATTTTTATATCTGTTTATGTTTTATAAATTGTGCTCAGTCGGTGTGAATAAGTGACAGATACTGACTACTGCTAATTTCGCTGCTGAATCTTCCTTGCGTGGATCTGTGTGCTTTGGGTAATAGTAATTAGCTACCACTTGTTTAAATACAACATGAGCAGATGTAGGCACCTGACCCTCCGGATAAACACGAATTTGTTAAGGAGCTGTAGAGTACTTTTCCGCTCGTTCTTTGCCATTATACACGCCTGACTGCCTTTTGTTTTATGTATCTGCAGCTGCCAATACAATCAGACTATACACACTCGACTGTGTCAGTTGTTGTTTGCATTGAATATCATAAAATATTCTTCATTCTGAAAAAATATTCATATAAATTTACATGTTGTAATAGGTTCTGTGTTTCATGTTACTTAAAACTTTCTTTTAAATTGAGTTGTTCTCCAGGAAATCTATGAAGTTCCATTTAGGCTTCATATAAAATAAAAGCCATACAAACCAAAATCAAATTTGCATAACTTCCCCCTCTCAGTAGACATAAAATAAGAAATTTAGTTGAAATGCTTCACTTACTATAGTCATGACTCGACCCCTATAAGCTCGGTTCTTCAATTTTGTGAAAAGAGCGCAATAAAAGCGAAAATATTTTGCAGTGACAACGACAGACCACTAGGTAAATGGATTCTGAGGTTGGCGTTCAGATGTTCAAAAAAGTCGCTGTTTTCACGGGATCAGAAAATTCATCAAAATTATGAACTAGTCCGTATAAATGAATCCAATCTGGACCAGTTCAAGTACTAATTTGCTGTTCACCAAAGAAGACCTTCCCACTGTGCTTATTAAAATTCATGCATTTCTTCTTACTCCACTCCTGGTACGCTTGACACCCACCGTAATATTCTTGACAGAATCATATCAATGACGGAATGTTAGGAATTATTAACGTCTCCCTCATTTACAATGAATGACCTTTCGAATATCCTCTTTTCAGCATTTTGTTTCGACAAAGTTAAATACCAAGTGTTGGTGTATGTAGGGTTACAAATAATAGTTCTGACTTAAACTGGACTAAAACCAAATACACAAAATGAAGATTGTACAGATGATATTTCTGGTTCCTGGGGAAATTCTATTCACTGTCATCTAATGTTATAAGAGATGTGGTACTGGGAGAAATGTTAATTCCTGCAGTTAATGTCCGACGATTACGGTATGAGAATAAAACTGGACGTACAATAAAATGATTACAGCACATGTCTCACACGAACGTAAATTACATTCATACCTAGACTGTAAATTTCAGAATCGGCATACTACGGGCCAAAAGACAACAACTTCTTTATGGTGCGTGGGTAGGTTTCTATAACACAAATTCTGGGGTATTTGTAATGTTCGTGAAACTTCGCGCCAGATGCACCCTTGTATTGGAAGACGGTGGCAGTTTCCCGTTGGAATGTGCCATGTTCTTTCTCCTTGTGGTAGGCCAGGAGAGAATATAGCAAGCCGATTTGTGGTTGGGCTGTTGCGTCTGATGCTGCATGGCGTCACCACTCTCGCTTGTACCTTCGCTAGCTGAAACTCCATCGCAACAGAGAGGTGCTTCACTCGTCCCATCTAGAGAGAAATACAAGCGTCCTGATGAGGCACGAGAGTTGTCATCTGTTGAAGAGAGGCTGCTCTTGCTGCTGTGGGTGTCACCATTGACTGGGCATGAACTGACACTTGTTCCAATATCCAAATGATGGAAAGACTCAGTGTCACTGCTTGCCACGCTACAGATCTCTCTTCTGTCGTCGACATCCTTCGGCTCTTGATACCGCATCTTCCTCCACTTCCGGTCGAGCAGAGAAGTTGTAGAAGTGGAATATTGACGCCCAATATCTCCTCTGGTGGGAGTACCTGGTGCTGTTGGAGCTTTGTCACTTTCCTCAGAGAACGCTCGAGTGATGAGGATACGAGGAGACCTGCGAGGAGTTGTTGCTAGGACAGTTTGAATAGCAGCTGCTCGCTTTGATGACGGGGAAGTAATTTCCTTCTGACACTGGTCATAGAAATGAGTATTTCCAATGCCAAAAACTCTCTGAAGAAAAAGATTGGCGCTGCTGAGACTAGGACGCGTGATTTGTACAGGGTTGCCACACAAGGAAGGCACTTCCTCAAATGATCCCCTCCCAATTTTGTTAGAAATCACTGCTGCACGAATGGATCTGTAATTTTTTGAGATTTCGCCGTCAAGCTCTACATCGTTGTCAAAAGATGGTACTTGTAACGTGTTGCAGCTGACCGTATGTGACTGCTGATCCTTTAAGGAATGCGATCTTGGAAAGCCAGAGACTCTATCTATTCCAGTTAAGGAAATACCAAGACCGGATGTGGATGAAGGTCTCCAGTTCAACTCCGAGGCTATCCGCTGGATCCTAGGCCTGGTTGAGTTGGGTCCATTAGCTCCAGTGCGATGAGGATCCAGGAGCACTTCTGACAGACGTCTCTGTAAATGGGAAGTGCAAGGACGACTCAGAATCCCTAGAGGTGTGAGCGAAGGACGTCGAGAGCCACAAGCTGATGGGGTTCGAGCTTGGATCTCCTGAATCATCTCGCTCTTCGACATCTGCTTACGCCAGTAATTTTGGAATGTTTTGCGGAGTATTTTACTCTTTATGCCGTACAGGAGGCCGTTGATCGGCGGAGAACAAGTTAATAGAGTTGATGCAAGGGTGACGACGTGTGGATGAACATGGACAGCCATGCCAAATTTGTTTGCTTCTAGGAATGTGGTGGATGAGGATTCCCACAGGATTACACCGTAGTAGGGGAAGTACAGGACAAGGAGCGAGCCTAGTAGCTGCAACACTGTTGATACCGCGCTGCGACCCCGGAACTTGCCGCCGGCGCTGAGGACAGATGGCTGGAAAGGGTTCCTCTGGTGAGTGATGGTCACCTGGGCAGAAAGCGTGACCTCGAATATGGCTGACGCGATGCGATGGCGGTGGTACCGGGCGATCATCAGAACCTTTTAACAGAGAGGTCAGCTAGGAGGCTTACAAGTTCACAGATATAACATTGACACATAAATTAGCATTTCCCTTTCGATAGTGTACCAGTGAGTCTTAGTTTATACATTGTTACATTCTGATGCAATCACTTGCAGCTGAAATTTCAAATTATTCAGCATAATTAAGATAATTCCCTCCATGTGGCAGGATTAATAAATCTACAGATGACTCGACAAAGGGAAAACTAATTGTAGACAAGATTGTATTTCATGAGAGGAAAAATTGTGGTTGATAGTTTATTTATTGCGTTGTTGCATAGTTTCTTGTCTTCATGCATGAACAGAAGTTTTATAAATGACAGTGTGGTTACTGAACAGACATTCATTCGGTGAATCAAATGTGTCACAATTTCCCTCACAGGTTATTGGCCGACTAAATATAAGAGGGGGTACCCAAAAGAACCCGAACTTATTTTTTTTAAACTTATTTATTCAAATTTTAAGCACAAACCTTCAATCCCCTTCAAAGTACTCTCCACTTACACTAATACACTTGTCTAGTCTTTTATTCCATTTTTCAAAACATTGTCTAAATTCATCTTTTGAGATGCTTGACAGCGCCTCCGTCGTTTTTTCCCTTCACCTCAGCAACATCAGCAAAACGCTGAAAAAAGGTTTTGATCATTTCGGGACTCTTCTTTCAAAGCACAGCATGCTTCCACGCGACCTTGTTTTTAGTCAGCAGTCGTGGCACGAATTTCGCAGCCACCCTTTTCATTCCCAAATCTTCTGTCAAAATTCGCTGAACTGAGCTCCAAGTCACTCCCGACAGCTCCACAATTTCTTCAATGGTCCGTCGTCGATCTTCCTTGATGATTTCACGAATTTTTTCAACATTTTCATGTGTTCGGGCCATTGCAAAAACGACGATCACACAAAACAGTTGTCACTATAAACTCTGCCGAAACTAGTCCTTACCTTCTGAAGCAACAGTAGTCGGCTTATCGACTCAGGAATGTTAGCTCTGTGCGCTCATAGCGGCAAAACGCGGTACTACAAAAGCTCTGCCCACAAAAAAATTAGTTCGGTTTCTTTTGGGTACCCCATCGTATATCCTTAAGTTGTTGTCTGGTATATGAAGCAATGTTAAGTGAAGTTCTTTGTTGCACAATTTTCTGCGGGCTCCCGTTAATTCATCTTAGACAGAAATGTGATCATCTGAACTTCATGCTTTCAAACATGAATATTCTCTATTCTCTGAGAGTGGGTGGCTGAATTAGCTACACTTGGAGTCAAACAGGAGGGCGGATTTTAGCGTAGAGGCAGTGAGTGAGAGCTACAAGACTGCTGTGCTACCAGATTGCTTCGAAACATAAATAACCTAAGATTTGAATCCAACAATAATATGTATATATAGTATTACTAATAATTATTAGTACTAATTTTGTATTGTCACGTATTTCAGAGTTGTATTTCCCCTACATTTCAATGCCTTAAGTCGAAATCCGCACCTTTACACAGTGCGACTTAGCAACTTAGTGAAATCGCGTGAGAAATTTTGAGTTATAACACCGCTAGTAAAATGTGACAGAAGCACTAGTCACATAGAAATCTATATTAGGAAAAAACTGTTGGCCACCAACTAGTCTGATATAGTTGTGCGTAGTTATTAGTGGTTCGGTCATGGCTCACCTTAATATTGCAGCCGAGGATCAGTGCCGCAGGCAGTAGCAAAGTGAGCAAGGTATAGATGGCCGAATACCAGATGGCGCCGTCCCCAAATCCGAAGTCAGGAGCGCAACCGGCCAGACCCGGGTTGTAGCTGTACGGAGCGATGAGGAAGAACGGGGGTAGGCACAGGATCAAAGCGATAAGCCACGCGGCCCCCAGTCCCATGGCCACCTTTCGCGGACTCACCATGGCTCCATAGTGCAATGGGGCCGAAATGGCGTAGTAACGGTCACAGTTGAGTCCACACACAGTCCATAGGGCCACCGGGTGGAGGAGCGTGAACAGAAAGCCATGGAGGTTGCAGGGAGTTCCTAACCCCAACCAGTTCCAGTCGCGGAGCATGCTGGGAGCCGAGAAGAAGAGGAAGAGAGCGCAAAGCAGGGAGTCAACAATACCAAGGTGGAGCAGCAGTAGGTTGTTGGCAGTCTGGACCTGTAACAAAGGCCCAACGTCATCAATCAATTGTCACAGAATTGTACAGCCTCCAGTAGCCGTTCCCTGACAAGGGCTTTTACCGAGGGAGATTCTTCAACTTCCCGCGCTCAGGTCCTCTTGTTACAGCCGCGCGTGCAGAACTGCCTGGCAGCCATTTCACACCAACCTCCTAGTCTTCTCTTCACAGACTGACTTCCAATTGACAATCGAACTCACTCACTCACCAACCAACAACTTCATTTCATTCATATGAACTGCTGACAACTGCAACTCTTCTATTGTTGAGTTGGTGTACGTTGCCACGGAAACATGTTTACCGAACTGTTGCGTAACCCAGTTGTTCTATTGTTGCGTGCGTTATCTAGCAACTGCTGTTGTTTACACAATCACCACTTAGCAACGGGTCTATACGCCACAATACGAAAGGAGTCTCAATACTGTTGGGAACTGTTACTGATGTTTGTACTGTAGGATCATGTCTCGGAACTTTTCTATTCCGGCCGGAGATTACAAATTAAATTCATTGCCGATTTCACTGATCATAACAATAAACACAAAATTATAGTTGCTCACTGAGAGAGTGAGGATGTGGCGAACTCTTTCCCTCCGTTCTACATTCTTCTCTTTCCCTTTTATCTTTTCTTCCTTTTAAGTTCTCCATCCTTTCTATCTATTCCTCTGTCTCCTCTCAACCTCCTATTCTTCATTCATTCTTGAGGCCAGAGCCCAATTTCAGTCTTCGTCTTTTATATTTTGTGGGTCATCTAAACTCTGTGAGGCAAAAGACAACGTTGTCCTTGCGCCTAATTAATTAACACCCACGTCATGAAGACATATAAGGGAGTAGAGATATAACTCCGCCATTCTTGACCTCGGGCCATATGATGTAGCAATTACAACTTTTCCTGGGTCACGCGGTATCAATTAATTCAGAATCCTTTCATCGGATTATTTTTGGTGACTTCCAGAAAATTTCAATTTCATGGACTGCTGGAGGACCGGGCCACTAATCTGGGAAACTATTATCTACATTGAGAGCTGCAGGAATCTTTGAATTGGGGATCTGACCATTGTCGAAGCGCCATCTTAGAACATAGAAAAGCATACATTCATCAAGTGGGGATCTAACTAAGGATTCGAGAGATTACGAGTCATGTATTTCTGTGTACCTGTTTATTTATCCGCAAGACACTGCCTCTATCCAGCAAGTCGAAGTGAAGCCATGAAACAGCATTTAGCCTTGGGAATGTGTCCAGATCAATTGGATTGTACAATCTGAAAACTTGCAGGTTGTTACTGTTAGTGAGTTCTGTTTGTTTTGTAAGTTGCTGTAAAAATGTGTAGACTGCAGGCACAAACAAACACTGGCGCCCACCTCCTGGTTCCGAAACAGCCGCAGTCCATGGTGGCACGGCGGCAGGTTCCAACAACAATGTCACGACCAAAAGAAACAATGAATATTTAACAGTTAAAATAAATACGACACAGTTTCATTGATCCGTAAATCGTATCTACAGGAAATGCCTCTCTTCCCTTATTCTCATCTTTTTTCCTTTATTTCTCTTAATCTTTCTCAGTCTTCCCCTTTCTCCTACACTTGACTTCACTCTTTTCCAATTTCATTCATCCTCCCGTTCTGTCTTTGCCATTCTCATCCCCTTTCTTGATTTTTCTTGGGTGTCACTAACAGCTCGTATCAGCAGAGAGCAGAGGTAGTACCAATAGTCCGTTTATGTACCCCTATAATTGGGTTAAATCGCCCATACCCAGACTATATCATGGAAATCCCTGGATAGAGTTACACCATCAATACAGAGGCTATAAGCTGAATCGATTCATCAGCTGGGAAAGAAATCAATAAATTCACGAAGCGAATATGGTTTCCTTAAAAATATAAAAGAATTTCAAAGCTTCAATATTGTCCTTTTAACAACAAATGCAAATACTGAAAGAAAAATAGTTCTGCTTCCGGAACTATTTGTGTGACATCACAAACCCCGCATACTGGTATAAGTAGTTCAAGGTTGGTTCCCCAGAGTGCTACATAAATAGACAACGCCATATCAGAACAGAGAATAACATGTAATGTAAGATGATGCAAAAATTCAAAGACGAAATCTATAAGCGTACCTCTATCACGGAGACATATTAGATGTTATTGTATTATACGTTTAAAGTGAGTTCAGCGTATAGAGCGAAGTTCGTGGACAGGAGCTGCGCTTGGTTCATAGCAGGGGCAGGTCTGTTCGCTGCGTTACCGCGTTCAGAAGACCGTACAATTTTAATTGTAGTTAGTTAGTTCTTCCAATAAAATTTCTACTTTAGAATAAGCTCAGGTTGAAATACTTCAGTGCCCTTAATTCTCCGATCTTCGAAGAACATGCTTACACGACTTGCGGCAGATCCGACATGCATTCTGTATCTCAAACATAATTAGATGTGGTGGATGTTTGACCGCGTATATTCCGGCTCTGTACAGTATGATGATTGTAACTACAAGCCATCTGGACTCTGTTTAGAGAGTGGTAACTCTCCATCTGCTTTACAGTAAGCGGTAGGACGTCGTTCACAATGGACTGGTTACCGGAGAATTAATACACAATGGCCATAAGTATGCAGGTTTGGGCATAAATATCTATTTCTAAATTCCCAGATTTCAATTGGTTTCTTTATTTCTTTTTAGGTGCCCAGGATTTATTAGCCTCCGTTATATCTGGCGGGAAGGTGGATGCAATCTAGGAATATCTCACTTTCTCTCTCCCTAGGGATTTAAAAATAGTGGAAAACAAGGAAATACGCTCTGTAGTAATAACAAGTAAAAGTTTTTCGAAGTTCGTAAAAATAGTCTCAAATTGCTAAACTGTAAATTTTTAACCAAATGTTCAGGCTCGCCTTCTGGAAAAAAAAAGTATGGCGGTATGTGTTTCTCACATGTTTTTATATTATATTTTTCTTCAATCTGTATATGAGTTGCGGACAATTCTTTAAGTACCCTTAAATATTACGGACAGCATTTGATGTTTTTTTTCTATTTTCTCTGTACTTCCTTGGAAAAATCTCTTTTTTTTGTAATATATGGTAAAATTCTTATAGAATTCATTGCATTTTTGGTGTTCTTGCATTTAATATGTGAGAAATATATGTCGAGGGATGATAATCCGTTGTTGAACGAAGTGACACTATAGGGAGTCTTTATCACGGAAGATTGAACTGGGATGTGAAGACTAGCACCTTCACTCGAGTCGCCATTCTACTCATGATTGTATTTACTGAGTTCATGGAAGCCCCAGCCTTATGAACAACCAATTTCACTTATTATCGATCTTTGTGAGTGCGTTCAGCTGCCCACACCACGCTCTTTCCTTGCAAGTTCCATCTCCACCTCCGATCTCAAGATCTGCCTAGGCCACTCGACTATACGCACTTTCTGCTGACCTTGAAATATACTAGCCTAATATGATTGCGCAAAGTCATTCTAAAATTATAATTGAAAATCGACCGTTTCTCAGATTTTCACTAATTTTGTATGAGTAGTACCTGGTAAAATTTGCAGGGGCTATCTTGAAGACGAATATTCTTGTCGCGCTCCTAGGCTCTTGCTGTCCGATACTTGTCACTTCTAGAAATGTCATTCTAGTTAACATCAGGTACTTTTATGTAATTGCTGTACTGTGTTGTTTTTTCTAATTCGACTCGCGTCTAAGGAACCATCTCTGCTACGTGTATTGATTGGCCTCTGTCACGTCTCTTATATGAATAATTTCGTCCATAGTTAACGTACGTAGTATATTCCTGTCAAGCGTCTCTTTGCTTCTGCCTGACGAGTACTGAGAGAGACGGAGAAAGAAAAGTATACTTTCTCCCTCATTTACAATTTATCTGCCAAATCTGCAAAATTATCACTCCAAATTTCGTTACAGAAATCGACTCAGCTGTTTAAGTCTAGAAAGAAGGAATAAATACAAAAAGTAATATCTTCTACTATATAATGCCGTCTAGTCCATTGAACGTTAACCGACGTTTCGGAGGAACATACCGCCTCCATCTTCAGGGTTGAATAAGAAAAACAAAATACCAGCGTGAAAGCAGGTGACAAGTTTATTCGACCCTGAAGCTGGAGGCCATACGTTCCTCCGAAACTTAGTTTGACTTTCAACGGACTACACGTCGTTATATATCCCAGAAGATAGCCCTCTTCATAATCATAGCTCTGAGAACCTCAAGTCCTAGAAATATAGACCACCCTCTTTTCCACAGCGGTCACGAACAACCGACTGCGTTGTATAAATTGTGGCGTCAAACAGATTAGGCAGTTCAGGTTGCTCATTCTGATGTAATGAAAGTTCGAAGAAAAATGAGACTGGTGAACATAATTTGTGTACGAGGACGACGAACTGCACATTTAACTCTCTTAATGTGTTATAGTTCAGAGACATGAAATGCCAATTCATTAGACAGGTAACAAATTCCTGGCACGCCCTTACATATTTGTCCAAAGCAGAGGTAAAGTGCTTCCTGTGCTAGAATGCAAGAGGGGCTCAATTCCATTCGCCAATCGCCCATCACGCTTCTCTACACAGGTAACTCGCTCCGTCCACCAGCTCATCTCACACCACTGTTCTTCATACGGGATAGGTCAGTAAGTGGCGGACTAAAAGTCGGAAGATCTGAGTTCGGATATTGGGCTTTGATCTCTGTCCGAGACCGTACAAATACAACCTCATCCAATGGATAAGTTTCCAGTACGAAGCATTTATGTGTTTCTGCTATTTTTTTTTTCCTTGGCACTACAGCCCCAGTGGGCCTTGGCCTACCTCCATGAACTTCTCCGTTCACTTCGGTTTTTCTAGATCTTACACATACGGTAGGACTCCTTGGGCGTGTGATCAGCTCATCGCAAGGCCTCTACCTGTAGACAAATACAGAAAAACGCACACAAACATCCATGCCCTGAGTGGGATTCGAACCCACGAGCTCGGCTTTCGAGCAAGCGAAGA